TCCCCTCCCCTCCCCTCCCCTCCATTCCCCTCTGTCTCGCAGGCGGGACCGCTGCTGCTTACAGCGTCATACTCCATCCTGCGAGCAATTTCCTTGATGGAGCGCTCAGGGCCGGACGGTACACGTTCACCGGAGGTAAGTGAGCAGGTCTGGGCACGGCTGGGCCCTCTCCTGGCGCAGCCCCAGCTCTTGGAGCGCATTTGACAGCTGCGTCTTCTCCCTCACTCCCCGGCCCGTGTCCGAGGTCCCGGCCACCAGGGGAAAGTCGGGTATTCCTTTATCGGGAACATGTGTAGGGTGGGGGGGCCCCGGAGATCAGCTGCAGGACTGGGGCTGCACAGCCAGCGGCCGGCCCGTGGTGGGTCTCCATTCAGACGTTGGCACAAGGCTCCCTCTGTGCCCCCCTTGGGGCACGTGCTGAGCACCCACTCCTCCCGTCTACCCGCAGCCGCCGTCGGGGCCGTGTTCGGCCTCACCTCCTGCATCACCGCCCAGGTCCGCCAGAAGCCCGACGACCCTCTGAACTATTTCCTCGGTGGCTGCGCCGGAGGCCTGACTATGGGATCACGCGGTGAGTGGGCCCCACCCCACCCCACCCACCCTCCTCCCAGCATGGCAGAACGACCCCTGACCTCTGCTGACCCTGCGCCCTCTCTTCCATCCCGGACAAGGAGCCAGGCAGCCCCCTTGAACCTCAGCCAGTTCAGTCATGGCCACAGCTGCTCCTGCTGAAGCGCCTGCTGTGTACCACGGCGCCAGGGCCTCGGCTCAGCATGTAGGGCCCCGCTGCCCTGCGCGTCTCCTCCCCGCCTCTCCTCCTCACTCTGGTCCAGCCACACGGGCCTCCTTGCTGTTCCTCCAACATGCCAGGCACAGCCCTGCCCCAGGGCCATCGCGCTGTTCAATGCCTGCAGAGCTGTTCCTTCACTGTCCTGACCACCCTGTACGAGCCCCATCCCCGCCACCCTCACTCCATGCCCGTTCCACCTGCCATGGCTTGTCAGAGGACACAGGTCACTGCCCATCTCCACCACTGGCCAAGGAGGTGCTGGTCCTCGCCCTGCCACCTCTCTCCCTGCCTGGAGCCCTGCAGGGGAGCTGCCCCCGCAGCCTTCACTTTACAGATACGGGTATTAGGACTCAGGGCAGGAATGAAGTGGCCCGAGGCCACCTGGGGGAGAAGTGGCCTCCTTTGCAGCCAGCAGAGGGTGCAGCCCTGGTTGAGGAGGCCTGCCTGGAGCACAAGCCAGACGCCACTCCAGCCCTCCCATGGGCCCGGGCTCGGGGTCAGTGCCCGCCTGTGCCCCTGGCCGACCCCCAGCCTGCCAGGGCCTGGGCCCTGAGGCTGTCATTGCTGGAAGAGCCTGGCTGTTCGCCGCCCTGTAAAGGCTGTAAAGACTCGGGCCCTCCGGGCCAGCAGGAGGAGTGAGCGAGCCCCCTTGGCCCAGCCGCTCCGGCCTGGCGTGTTGGGAGTGACGGATGGCAGGTTCCAGGCAGGCAGACAGGGAGGGTGCAAGGGCAGGACCCGCACCATCACTGCGTCTCTGTGACAAGACCTTGAGGCGGCCGTGCCCCACCCCGGCTCCCACCAGAACTGGTCAGAGGTTGGAGGTAGGCTGAGATTTTGACTGTGACCCAGCCATGGCTGGGACTGCTCCCTGCCCCAGGCCAGCCTCCTTGTCTCTCTTCAAAACTTGTGAGTGCCTGGTGCGTGGAGAAGGCCTCCTTCCTCCTCTGGCCCAGGAGCTTCAGGGCAGGAGAGCCGGGGGAAGCGGGGGCACCGTCTGGACTCCTCGGTACACAGACCACGAGGCAGCTGTGTGGCCTGGCCTTGGCGGCCATGGGCAGAGGAGAGACGGAGACACACGGACATGACCACTGCCTGGTGTCCAGCCTTGCCCCAGCCTCAGCCGGGGGCAGCACAGTGTTCCTCTCACAGGGGGCAGTCAGCGTGGGGCAGACCGAGGACCCACAGCCTGGGTTCCTGCTGGGAAGCCACCTGGACTCAGGCCCCCCTCTGTGCCTCAGTTTCCACATCAGAGTCTAGGGCCTTCTAAAGTGACTTAATCCCTGCAGAGAGAGTCCTGTCAGGGGTCTCAGTCTGGCTCCCAGGGTGGGCTCCGGCTGGGGCGTGGAGCATCGTGGTCCAGCCCAGACCCAGCAGGGCCTGACATCACCTCCAACCCCGCAGTGCGCAACTACGAGATTGGCGCCGCCTGCTGTGTGTACTTCGGCATCGCAGCCGCCCTGTTCAAGATGGGCCGGCTAGAGGGCTGGCGACTGTATCGAAAGCCCTGGGAGTGAGCCCTGCGCCTGCCGGGACCTCCCGCCTGCGGAACGCATCCAGAAATAAATTCCATGTCTGTGTGTGTCAGTGTCCAGAGGGCTTGGTGAGGGTGACACGGCGGCCAGTGAGGGCGGATCCAGGCAGGAGTGGGGAGAGGAGATGAGATAAGACCCCTGCACACTCGCCCGTCTGCCGCCTGCCGTCCCTGCCAAGGGAACCAGCCTGGCCCTGCAGAACTGGGATGGCATCGGGCCGGGGCCGGCCGGAGCCGCAGAGGGGAGACTTGGCTGTGGCACGCCCCCTCCTCTGTGCCTCCACCAGTTCCCAGGGCAGGGCGGGAGCGTGCAAGTGACCTGCCAGCAAGTGGAAACTGGGCCCCAACGCCACGGCCCTGCCCTCCGCGCTGTCGGCCCCGGTCACAGCCCCCATGCAGATCATGAGCCATCCCTTCTCTGGGCCTGTCCCCAAAGCCAACAGCATGTGGAGAACACGCCCAGGCCCCATCTCCAAATTCCTGGGCACTGGAGCGGAGAGCCCCAGACAGGTTGGCCCAGCATCTGTCCCCATCTGACAGGTCACTTGGAGCCCCTGAGGCTGGGGCAGAGCAGGACAGGACCCCTCTCAGCACCTGGCTGGTGGCAGCGACAAGGGAAATAATTGTGATCCCTTCCCGCTGCTGCCTGTCAGGCCTGGCGATTTAGGCAGCCCCGGAATGCTGGTACCGCCCAGGCCCTTTCTCCAGACCTGGCTCAGGCTCCCTGGTAGCTGGAGACGAAGCCTGCAAGCTCCAACATGCCGCGGTGGGCCGTAAATGAGGGCGCTCCAGGCTCCACCCAGGGGAGCAGAGCTGTGCACAGCTCCGGCTGGGGTGGATCGGGGCCTGCTGGTGGGCCGGGGACAGCAGGAGCTGGCCGGCTGCTGGGTCCCTCCTTTCCCCTCCTCACCCATCTCTCCTTTTCTCAAGCCCGCCCGTGGGGCTTCGATGTGGTGAAAAGCCAAACTTCACTTCAGCCTCATCTCCTCTGTCAGCCCCCAAGTAGAAACAGCCTGGAGCTCCCAGGCCGGAGCAATCCTCCCACCTCAGCCTCCCAAGTACCTGGTGCAGCCGCCGCCACTGTGCCTGGCGTATTTTTTAAAAATATTTTGAGCCCGGGCGCGGTGGCTCACGCCTGTAATCCCAGCACTTTGGGAGGCCGAGGCGGGTGGACCACGAGGTCAAGGGATCGAGACCATCCTGGTCAACATGGTGAAACCCCGTCTCTACTAAAAATACAAAAATCAGCTGGGCATGGTGGCGCGTGCCTGTAATCCCAGCTACTCAGGAGGCTGAGGCAGGAGAATTGCCTGAACCCAGGAGGCGGAGGTTGCGGTGAGCCGAGATCGCGCCATTGCACTCCAGCCTGGGTAACAAGAGCGAAACTCCGTCTCAAAAAAAAAAATATTTTGTAGGCTGGGCGTGGTGGTTTGAACCTGTAATCCCAGCACCTTGGGATTACAGGTGGGAGGACTGCTCGATGCCAGGAGTCTGGGACCAGCCTGGCAACACAGTGAGACCCTGCCTCTGCTTAAAAAATTGTCTTTTTGAGACAGTCTTGCTCTGTCACTCGAGCCGGAGGGCAGTGGCAGGATCGTGGCTCACAGGAACCTTGACCTCCCGGCTCCTGTGACCCTCTCATCTCAGCCTCCGCGGTAGCTGGGACTGCCGCTGTGCACCGCCACAGCCAGCTAATTGTGTTATTTATTTATTTATTTATTTATATTTTTTTTGAGACGGAGTTTCGCTCTTGTTACCCAGGCTGGAGTGCAATGGCGCGATCTCGGCTCACCGCAACCTCTGCCTCCTGGGTTCAGGCAATTCTCCTGCCTCAGCCTCCTGAGTAGCTGGGATTACAGGCACGTGTCACCATGCCCAGCTAATTTTTTGTATTTTTAGTAGAGACGGGGTTTCACCGTGTTGACCAGGATGGTCTCGATCTCTTGACCTCGTGATCCACCCGCCTCGGCCTCCCACAGTGCTGGGATTACAGGCGTGAGCCACCGCGCCCGGCATGTTTTTATTTTTTGTAGAGCGGGTTCTCACTGTGTTGTGCAGGCTGGTCTCAAACTCCTGGCCTTGACCATTCCTCCCTCCTCAGCTTCCCAACGTGCTGGGATTATAGGCATGAGCCACTGTCCCCGGCCGCCCTGTATGGAGACAGCACAGATGTCCACATGTGTTCCGGCCCAAGCGGGGCCACACAACAGCTCAGGGTCACTTCCACCTGCAGGGCTGGGGGCCTGGGCCTGGGCTGGGGCTCCCTGAGAAAGGGTAGACACACCCACCACAAGCCAGGAGGGGCAGGGGCCCTGTCCGAGCCTTTAAAACAGGCTCTGGGTTCAAATCCCACCACTTGATTCTTCCCTTGTGCCCTCAGAGGACGGCAACACCCAGGCCTCAGCTTGCCCACCTAGTAAGTGGGAATAAGGGCCTCAGAGATGCCCCACAAAGAAGAAAGACGATTCCGCTCCCTGCAGGCATCCCGTCCACTGCAGGGCACCAGCCTCTGTCTCCACCGTGGCCGGCAGGGGGCAGCACCCACCACAGCACGGCCTGCCAGTGTGGGCCCGGAAGATCATCCCCAGGCCCCCAGCCTCAAGGTGACACAGGCGTCAGATTCCATCCCTTCCTCCACATTTCAGGTCTTTTTCTGTCTCCTCATCCCCCTTCCTTCCCATGCATCCTGCCCGCAGCGGCCGGGAGGTGACAGCTTCTAGGAATGGGCAACCCAGCTCCAAATCCGCAGCCGAGGACACTGAGGACCGTATGGGAGAAAGGACCAGTCCAAGCTCCCATGACAGTCACCCTTAGCCCTGCACCAAGGCCGCTTCTGGGGCCGGTTCCTTGCACTAAGGCCCAGGATGAGGGGGGTGCTGGAAATTTAAAGGCAGCAAGCCCCTTCCCACTCCCCAGCTACAGTTGCCCCCTGCGTTCAGGGGAGCCGATGGCTCAGACCAGGGGCTCTGCCCACCCAGCCCATTCCGGGCCACCCGCCAGGGTTGGTGCAGGCCTGCCAGCTCCCCTCCAACCCTGCCTGCAGGACAGGCCCCCCCCCAAGAATGGAACAGGAGGGGGCGGCCTCTTGCTGGTCTCCAGGGAACCCCAAAGCCCAGGCCCCATGGCCCGTAAACATTTACTAGGTTGTGGAGGGCTGATGTCACTCCTGCCCCACACGCAGGAGGGCCCCCATCTGGAACATCTGCCCCCGCGGGCTCCCTGGGGGGCAGTGGGGGACCCTTCTGGAGTTTCCCCCGAACTTCACAACGTTCTTCCCAGCCCCAGACAGTCAGGGCTGGAACTGAGGAGGGGCAGAGCCTCCCTGGGGAGCTAGGAGGGCTTCCTAGAGGAAGAGGCGGTGCAGCAGAGAGGGCCCAAAGATGAAGAGGCTTTTCCAGGTGTGCCTAGCAGGAGGGTGGTCCAGGCAGAGCACACAGTGACATCAAAACGCCTGCTGGCAGGGAGAGCAGCGGGCGATCCGCCGTCTCCTGGCCAAGGAGAGGTCCTGGGGGCTGCGGGGCGCGCACTTGCTTCCCAGAACCCAGTCCTGGAGACACGCCCCCAGCGGAGGCAAGGCTCCAAGAACACTGGCCTGGCTCGGCACAGTGGCTGATGCCTGTAATCCCAACACTTTGGGAAGCCGAGACGGGCAGATCGCTTGAGGTCAGGAGTTCGAGGCCACCCTGGCCAACACGGTAAAACCCCATTAGAGTGAGTGAGACTTGGTCTCAAAAAATAAAAACAACAGTGGCCTGGGCTGGCGCTGACCCAGTCCCTCCAGGCCCTGCCGTCGGGGGTCTCTAAGCTCTTAGCAAGCCAAGAAAACGTTCATAAGACCAAAAAAACGGGGGGGTGTGGGGAACATCAAGCTTTCCCACCTGCCAGGCAGGTGCAGTTAGTATTTTTCGGCTCATTGTAGTCCTTTATGCAGCCCTTCGTGAGCTCTGTAAGGCATTAGTCCTGTTTTACAGATGAGGAAACTGAGGCCCAGGAGATGCACGTAGCAGACACTAAAGGAAACGTTACTTTGGAGTGGGGCTCAGTGACTAACGCCTGTAATCCAAGCACTTTGGGAGGCCGAGGTGGGCAGATCATGACGTCAGGAGTTCAAGACCAGCCTGACCAACCAAGGTGGTGAAACTGTGTCTCTACTGAAAATACAAAAATTAGCCAGGTGTGTTGGCGGGTGCCTTAATCCCAGCTACTTAGGAGGCTGAGGCAAGAGAATCGCTTGAACCCGAGAGGAGGAGGTTGCAGTGATCATGCCATTGCTCTCCATCCTAGGCAACAGAGCAAGACTCTGTCTCAAGAAAAGAAAAAGTGTTACTTCTCCTCCTAATAACAGCTGTTTGGAAAATGGCAAGTTGTTCCTTTAAGACTTTCTAAGTGGTCTCAGCGATTGGAACGAACACGCCCCAGTGAGAAAAGGAGGGTGTTCTCACTGCCAGCTTGCGCACAGCTGTACCCCCACAAGCTCCTTTAAACTTGTGTTCAGTGCGGGCCTCGGGTTCCTAGAAATGTATTTGACATGACTGGGATGGGACACAGGTGGGAAGACCCCCCTGGGGCTGACACGTGCCCCTCCTTGGGGCTGGAGGGCTGGTCCTGCCCTCCCGAATCTCAACCCCTTTGGCCTTCAGAATCTGTCCCAAATCTGCCTCTGGTCTCATCCCATCATCTCGACAAACCTAGTCCCCTCCACCCTGGTCACCCTGCTACCCCCTGAGCGCCCCACAGTCTGTCCTCCCCACAGCAGCCAGAAGGCGCCTGTGAGTCCCTAAGTCAGGTCCCGCCCCTCCTCTGCCCACAACCCTCCACGGCTCCCACCTCCCTTGGGGGAAAAAGCCCAAGTCCTCTCTACAGCCCACCAGGCCCTGCAGTCCCGCCCCGTCCCCTCCCCCCACCCCATCCCCTCCCCCCACCCCCCTCTTCACTGCTCCAGCCCCACAAGCCTCCTCACTCTTCCTCCAACACTGTAGGCACAGTCCTGCCCCAGGGCCTTTGCACAGGCGGTGTCCTCTGCCTGCAATGCCTGTCCCCCAGATGTCCCGAGCTCAC